GGAGGTGGATGTGGGTGTGTTTATGAAGGGTGTGGAGGTGGATGTGGATGTGGGTGGGGTGTGGGGTGTGGATGTGGGTGTGAGTGTGTGGGGTGGGTGTGGGTATGGGTGGGTGTGGATGTGGGTATGTGCGTGTGGATGTGGGTGTGTGGGTGTGTGGGTGTGGGTGGCTGTGAGGGTGTGGGTGGGTGTGGGGTGTGGGGTGTGGGTGTGGGTGTGGGTGTGGATGTGGGTGTGGGTGTGAGGGTGTGGGTGGCTGTGAGTGGGTGTGGATGTGGGATATGAGTGTGGGGTGGATGTGAGTGTAGGTGTGGGTGGGTATGGGTGTGTGTATGGGTGTGGGGTGTGGGGTGTGGGGTGGGTGTGGGGTGGGTGTGGATATGGATGTGGGTGCGGGGTGGGTGTGGGTGTGGATCTTCCATCGATCTAGACTCACACCCATTCTCACACCCATACCCTCTAATCAAGATTTGTCGCATGAGTATCTATTGCAAAAATGGAATAGTCCAGCTTAGTCCACACCCTGAGCTGCGGGCCAGACCGAACCCAGTCCATTCGGAGCTTCAAGAAGAGATTTGCCCACTGCTGTCCCTTTATATAAGAAAGATAAAGAACCAACAGTTATATTTACAATACTACGGTGTGTTCTAAGGGTGTCATTATTCATAATACCTTTTATCTAGAAATTCTCTATATATTCTTGAAACGTGGCTGTGGGTATGAGGTGTGTGAGTGGGTATGGGTGTGGGTGTGGGTGTGGGTGTGGAATGTGGATATGGGCGTGGGTGTGGGTGCGACTAGGTGTGGGGTGTGGGAGTGTGGGCGTGAGTGTTGATTTCAAGTATGGTCACACCCACACTCACACCAACACCCACACCCTACCTCACACCCATCTCTCTAAAAAAAATTGGTGCCATAGGAAACTATTAAAGGTTTTAGCGAAGATCCAGAACCTTTTAAGGTTTCACTCGTTTATTAGTAAACCATCAAAAGGTTCTAGATGATTTTAAGAACCATGCCAAATAAAAAAATGTTTCCAGAGGTCGAGAAGAGTTCTATCTTCCACCATTTTTCTACACAAAGAACCATGACAGATGAAAAATAGTTCCAGATATTTAGAAAAGTTCTATATCGCACTAATTTTTTTCATAAAGAATCATGACTGATGAAAAATGGTTCAAAAGATTTTAAATGGTTCTGTCTCACACCTTTTGTCTTTATAAAGAATCGTGACTAATAAACAATGGCTCCAGAGATTTAAAAAGAGTTCTATGCTGAACCACTTTTTTCTGCGAGGTATCGTGACTAAAATAAAATGGTTTCAGGGAATCAAATGAGTTCTACATCGCACCATTTCACTTATTAAAGAATCATAACTGACTTTAAACGGCTCTAGGGATTTATAAGGGTTCTATCTCGTACCGTTTCTTCTCCATAAAGAACCGTAGTTGATAGAAAATGGTTTTAGCAATTTAAGAGGGATCTATACTATACCATTTTCTTTATGCTCTCCTTCTTTTAGAAACGTAGTTCTAGCACAAGTCGCCTGTATTGGATTGGAAATAAAAGAGGCCAAACAGATTCTTTGAACTCTGTCAAGCGTTACCATACTTTTGCAAAAGAATTCGAATCCAGGACACTTCATTAAATGTCACATAATCTTATATGTTTCATCTGAAAGCTCTTTCAAATTTCACAATAGAAAAAGCTTCGTAGTGAATGTCTCCAAAGTATTATAGACAGAAAGTTTCCTATCAAATTATTTTCTTTCAAGCTTTCTATAATACAGATCGCTGTTCACTGATCAAAAACACGATTAATCTGAATCGTCCCTATTTTTATCGTTCTGCCATTCATCTTGCTATTGGGTTCGCATACTTCATTAGTGGATTTACATTTTATATTTTGCCAGATGCAGCTACATTTGAGAGCAATATGAAAAATATCGGTTATACTGCCAATAGAATTTGTTCACTAAAGTTTTGAGATGCCTACATTGTCCCAGCAGAAACAGAGTTTCTAACGACTGATAGCTACCTCTATTTGAATTTCATAAATCTCTACGATAATGTCTTCGCTACCGCTTTTAGGGCGTTGATTGTTCCAGCAAATTAAGCTAAAAGTTTGCTCACTCTTTTCTTTAGGTAGAATGTATCTTCAGTAGACAAATTTAAACTATGAAAATATCTTCCTTTTCATCTCACTTGGTGTGGGTGGGTGTGGGTGTGTGGGTGTGGGTGTGGGTGTGGGTGTGGGTGTGGGTGTGGGTGTGGGTGTGGGTGTGGGTG